CAACTTTTTCCAGATTATTTTGTTTTCATTTATACTGGAAGCGAAATTTAAATTAGAATCTATTTGCCCAGCTGGAGAAGGAGCAAAGGACAAAGTGTCCCTTAGTTTCTCAGATTCAGCCCTCAATTGTGTGGAGTAAACAAATTACTTTCTGAAAAACGGTCTTTTGTGTAACAGTGTTATACATATATAAATATAGATGACAAAGTAAATACGGACAAGCGAAAAGCTTTAAATGAGAATCCAGGAGTTCACAGGGTGGACAGTGAAATAAGACATGAATCAAACCTCCTTTTTCCCATGTGACAGCAGGGTTACGGCCTCACAGGTACCGCAGACTACAAACATGAGGACTTCACAGTCCCCTGGGCCTCACTCTTGGCTGTGAAACCCTCGGATTAGGCTTTGTGCCAACAAACAAACCAAAAAGAAAAAGCAATCTTTCACTAAGGTACTTTGAACATGACATTCAAGACATCATTTGTTACAGAAGCAGCTTTACTGACGGCGAGAACACGTATAAGCTGCAGGGGGTAAACATAATGATGATGTGGGAGGAGGCGGCTGCCGCATTCACAACAGATACAACAATTTAAAATGCTCAACATATAAAACTCCCAGCATTTCAGATTATATTATACATTATAATGCATCATGCCTCATCACCTCTGAAGGGAGCGGCAGATAAAAGTCTGGCTATTTCTGCAGCATCCCTGCAAATTGCATCTGGCCTGCTAGCGCCACACTTTGCATTTTAATTGGCCGTAACTCTATTATCCACAAACAAACAGCGAAGGTACTTACAGGGTGAGGTGGTTAAAGCCCACGGTCCTTAAGGTGAAGGCTCTGGCCAGCAGGCGCACATGTGTGAACAAAACTCCGATAGACTCCTCGAATTGGGTCAGTTTTTGGAGGACCGGCGACGTCTCAATCAGCTGCCTGTCTGTCTGCGGCTCCTGTACCTGAAAAAGGACAAAGATAGCAACAAAGGAGGTTTGCTGACGAGATATGGGGCCATGAAAGAGCTCTGGTCATTATAGATATAACGAAAACAGACAGAATGCCAGCATTCGCTGAAATCGGTTGTTCCTGTTTAGGATGATGGCTGTGGCAACAATAAACAAGACGTCTATTTATCAGTGAGTTCCAGCACTTGGTCTGTTTTGACCCTTCCGAGGCTACGTACGTATGCCAGATCACTTTTCAATATTTGCACCCGACACACTCCTACTCATCTTTTATAGATTTGAGACTAGCCAGAGCCAACATTTAGTGAGCAGCAATTTTTCAGTGTTTACTTTTTGGCGAGTCCTTACACCAGGTAAAGAGAGAGCTTAGTGCTAAATTACAGACTGCTTCCAGGGTGCTGACAGTTTGGGAAAGACCCTCCTTTGCTTCTACATAATAACATATCCTCAAACAGAACCACAGTCTGTGTGTTTTTGTTGTTTTTCTTCCAGTGTTTTGATTGAAGAGGAAGAGCCTGAATCCCCTGCACACACCCCTGACCTAAACTCTGTCAGTGCTGCACCTCACTGTTGCTCTAGCAAACGGGAAATTCTCTCACACTGACATCACTCAGAGTTAGGGTGACTGTGTTTAATGTGAACATCCACCACTGTAACAGGATATACACTCAGCAGCCAACCAGGTTCAACTCGTGTCTTCTAACGCCGCTAACGTGGTCTGATATGATTATCGCCGTCGAGAGGGTCGGGTTGGGGTTTTGCCCGCAGTGCACCCTGCTTCTGAAAGTTGCTTCCAGCAGGATAAGATCACGAAGCTGAAATCATCTCAAACTGGTTTCTTGAACACAACGATGTATTCAAATGCCCTCCACAGTCACTGGAGCTTAATCCAGGAGTGCACCACCTGTGGGATGTGGTGGAGCAGGCGTATGACATCGTGGATGGAAATGACCCTGGTTAAATCTAATATCAGGCAAAAAACCTGATATTAGGAAGGTGTCCCTAAAAAAGTGGCCAGTGAGTGTATTTGACAGAAAATACCAGCGGTATAGCTCTATTGGCAGTTTTGTATTCAACTTGTTTTTAATTATAAATAATGTTCAGTATTTTTAGTGTTATTACATTTCTTGAGTAATGTTTTGTTGTACTTTATGTATATTTTTGCTTATTTTTATCCAGCACTTTCTTACCTTTTCAGTTACTTATGTATTATATTTATCTTTTTTTACAAGGTATTTTATTACCATTGTTGACCTGTTTTATTTTTTGATACTTCATTTACTCCATTTAAATCATAATTTTGACGCGCTGTATTCATTTTATTGAGCTGTTCTTTATTTAACTCGGGTTATTTTTAACGTTTTGGCTCATGCATAATGGACCTTCCATGACCTTCCAAGCTATATAGTTTATGTCTTCCATATTCCAACTATATCCATAATCACATACTGTGTATGCTACCATTGTATATAGTGTATTATCTTACTTTTTTTTTCATTGATTGTACTTATTTGTATTTTTGTATTTCCTTCATATATCTGTACCTGAGCTGAGGTGACGCAAAAAATTTCCCCGTTGTGGGATCAATAAAGTCTTATCTTATCTTAATGTACTGCAGGAATTTCCCAACTTCTGTGCATAAATACATGAAGAAATGAATATGAAATTTTCTGAATAAAATTTGATACATAGTTATTAATAATGTGCTCGCATTTGATGCGCCTAATTGCTTTCGCTGTTAAATCTACTCTTTTGCCCTTGCATATACGTTTTGTAATTAATTTTAAAAATGTGCTCTTTGCTTTGGGATATCTCACAGCCCTAAATATGTATCTAGTAACAGCCAGCAAGACCACTTCAAGGATGCTTGAATAACACACCAAAGAGAAACTTGCTCAATGAAGTCGTTCTGCATAAGAGTGTCAGATAAATTCAGTAAATGAGATGAACCTCTGCAGTATGCGCTGCTTTAGGGCCTGTTTAGAGTGTGTGTTTTTCCTCCGACTCAAAACAAACTCAGATGATCTGGAGCAGATGGAATCTCTTAGTCATTAAGTTTTAAGTCAAACAGCTCCCTTTCCCCACCACTCTCTGTAAATCTGATGATTCCCACAGTCAATTAATATCTCTGGTGACTCAGTGGTACTGTAAATGCGCTGGCTTGTTATGTGAGCATACTTGTGACTGTGATGAGACTTGAAAGAGCGGTTTTCCGTTGTGTAAATCGCTATAGATTATGCTTTTAACATTAGCTCCAGGGCTTGGTGAGTTCAGAGGTAGATGGGTCCACGTGGCTCTCTTTAGCTACAGCGTTTCCTCTTGTCTGTGCTTGTTACAAAGAACATATGAAGAAAGAAGAAGAAGAAATGATATGCAAAGAAAATGTGTACACGCATGTTTGTTAAATCAACAGATATCCTTATGGGTGCATTAATTAGGCTGCTAGAATGAACTAATTGGTCTCTGCGTGGTGCAACTGTTAGCTTGACCAAGACATCTTTTCCACAGAAAACAGAAACATTGAGACGTGGACACTCAAAGGGAACGCATGCACATTCAATTGACCTTGTTAGTTTGCTCTATTTTACACTACGAAGTAGCCTGAAAATAAGAATAAAGAATACACGCAAGGCTCTCAGAGGCAAGATAGCCACTTTCTTCATTTTCCAGCGCTTTCTTTTGTCTGCGTTTTCGTGATGGAATGACAAGTAAACAGCGCTCTCAAAGTCTCCCATGTCGAGCCGCTGCACAGCGCAGAGATGTATTTTTAAACTCAGTATTTTAATTGGAGTGCTGCCGGTAATGTCATGGTTCCATCTTCCAGTGTGTCCTAAGAAACATTTCACTCCTGCCTTTTTTGCTCATTCTGTTAATTAACGAAAGGCGTGTAAATGTCATGCATCGCAACTAACGACATCTGACGAGTTCAGCACTCATAGGCGCGAGCTTATCCTTCAGGGGAAATGGCCAGCAGCAAGGCTTCAAACGAAGTGAAGAGGAGAGAGGAAAAAACAGAAGAATCAACAGCAGTTTTGAAAAAAGATGGGGGGGGAAAAAAAACATGTTTGAAATGGCTTCAAAGCATCACTTTCAGCTCAGTCCAGACAGAAAGCAGAATCAGAGCCCAGGTCTTCTGAGGCCAAAAAAAATAAAATCAAATCAAATAAAAAACTCCAGACTCTCATGTATCTCCTCAATAAACTAAAGGAGAAATTTGGCAATCCAAACTCAGTGTAAATGATGTTCTGGTAAATTATTCTGGAGAGCTGGGGGTGATGATGTGCTGGTGTGAATCAAGGAAAAAGTGCAGAGTGATCCGCAGTGTTCTGTAGGGTGAGGCTGCTGCAGGGTAGTGTATGCGTCTATGACATGGATCTGTGTACGCACAATTACACACACCACCTCCAGCTGCCATCACCGTCGCCTCAAACCTCATTAAGGTAGCTTCTCTCATCTCTGCCCTGTCATCCCTCTCTTGGTCGGGGGGGAGGCTGGCACACCTTGTTACCTTTCAACAGCAGATTTAGGCAATAGAGGCTCAGTTAGAAACAGAGAGCACGAACATGTCTGTGTAGGTACTCAGTCACTCAGGTCATGACGGTCGTGTGTTTCGGTCAAAGGCGACTTCTTTTAGGTTCTTGAAGACATTTTAACTTTCCTCCAAGAGGCTTCATCAGTGCTGATGAGAGGGTAATTTAACCCGTAGTGGGGCTGTCACCTCAGAGGTGGCACCAACACGCCTGGACTGGCCTATGACATCAAAATAGATTTAAATCTCAAGGGACGTCCTGGTTAAATAAAGGTTTAATTAAACCTTTATTTAAAGACCAAAAAAATAGATTAAAAAATCCAAAAAAAGTCATTAAACTCGTATTTCTTGGCAGCATTTTTTAAGCAATGGCTGTGAATTTCTCATCCATGCTTCCTTCCTTTTCTCATGGCCTGCTTTCAAATATTGGTCTTCTGTTAGGCTCAAAATTAGCTTGTTTTCTCCCCTTCTTCTTTCGCTCGAGCCATAGTCCATGTCTCAGGGTAAAAAACATTTATCAACTCCATTATCGCAGCCCAAGCATTTATTTATTTAAATCAATGTTTTTCCAAAGAATATGCTTTGGAAATGAGGCCTCGCAGCAGGAGCGTCCTGCATTACATTTTTGGTTAGAGCTTTTCTGCGTGGAGTTTGCATGTTCTCCAGATAGGTTAATGCTATCTATGTCAACACAGGTCACTCTTGCAAAGATGTGCCTTTTCTTCGGCTTCTGATTCTCACACTTCTTTTCCAGTTTCTTCTGATGGAAATTCTCCTACTTTCTGCCTTTAGGAGTGCACACTTTTCTCTTAGAATATCACTCGTTTCTCCATGGCACGATCTGATATCGTCGTGTTGGTGTTGTTCCCAGATCATCATACTAAATGTTGTTCCAGGATCAACATTGCAAGTGACCAATCAGAATGTTGTGACGTCATACTTTTCCGACTTCGGGAAAAAAACGCCGTAAAACAAAAAACTGTACTTAAGCTGCGAGAAACCGCCTCTGTCCACCGATCAAGGGACCCTGACCCTAACCCTTTAACAAACGGTAAGCAGAATTGATATTGTCCTTGCAACATTGGAATTTCATAAATGCACGAATGGCTTGGCGTGCAAAAGAATAACGTCACAACAATGTGATTGGTCACTTGCGATGTTGAACCTGGAACAACACCAACACGACGATATCAAATCATCCTTTCTCCATGATCCACTTCAAGGTCTACAGACCAATCGGCAACCTCCAGGCAACCTCAAATCGCTAGGGAACAATGAGTATTTCCCAACAGCTTGGCTGGACGTTCCTGGCCATGTCTAGGTGAGATTGCTGCGGTCACATGTTGTTTGTATTGAACTGCGTAACTGGAGCTTCAGCGGCTGCTTCAGTTACTACCAGCAACCTACAACAACTGCTCGTCAACATTTGTCCCTGGGGAGCACTCTTTGATGGGGGTTGCCAACAGGTCTCTCGGCATGTAGCTTTAAATACACGCGGTGATATAAACTTTTCCTCAGGGTGAGAACTTTCTGCACATATTTGAGAATGAGGCCTAATCTTCCAATTCCAAGATTATATACTTAAATACATAAACAATTAACGGGTAAATACAGCTTAGATCACATCACGGTTCAGGGTGCTTTCAAGCTACCGAGAGGCTGACACAATTTAGTCAGGTCTTATCCCACTGGCAGAGGACCACCCAGAGGAAACCTCTGCAATGCACAGTGTGTGGTAATGAGGCTGTATGTCTACTCATGCACGCTGTGGAGGAACCAACCGAACCACAGAGCCATAGCAGGACTGACCCAAGAGCTCCACCCTGCCCACAGTAACTGCTGCCACCGCCTGTGCAGCTCACCAGGAAAACAGGCTGCTGGGTACACAGTGGGTTTAGTCTGAGCACTGAACAAGATCAACAAAAAACATCCAGGCTCTCTGTGGATCTTGGGGACAACAAATACAGGGTTGAGGAGGCTAAGATATAAAAAAAAAAAACCAAACATATGTTGTAGGTAAACAAAAAAGCACAATGCTATTTTTTGGGGGGGGGCAAAAGCAGGATGTGTAAAAATGTACATACGCAGCAAGATGAAGAGAATAAAGCGCTTAAAGACGACTCGGCATACACACAAAGAAACACTTTCTCCTCGCAAACACATCAGAGAGAAGGATGCCTGACGGTCCCTGGAGGCCCCATGTGATTCGGGACTGTAATCCTGTTATGGCATCTTTGATCTCTTCTTCCAAATCCTAATTTCAAACAAACACTGTTGACATGTTTAATGTTTCTGGGCAGATCATGCAAAGCAAAGAGCAGCAGAACGGAGAGAGACTGAAGAGACGGATGATGGAGAAAGGATGAGGAGGGGGGAAACGGGGGGGATGATGTGGCAAAGAGAAAAGGCAAGAGAGACTGAGTAAGTGAAAAAGCGGATTAGGGTCTTGACCAAAATGGAGAGCATCGAGACAAGGGAACAGAACAATAGAAACTAGTGGAAGGCTACCGGGAGCCTTGTGACAGCCATAAAGAGCTCAGTCAGCCTCAGGCAAAATACCTAACAGCTTGCCCACCTCTGTTACCGACACACACGAGAAGAAGAAGAAGAAAAATAACACGCACATTTAGATGGGAAAACTTCAAAGATTCGCGAAGGCTTTTGTGTCTTGGGGGTGAGGTGAGTTTTAATGAGAGGTACCCAGACAAAATAAACATCAATAATAAAACATATCTCTCCTAACCTGCAGGGGGTGTGGTGGGTAGTTGAGCCAGACCTCCCGCAGATCCTGTGAAGACAGAAACAGAGAAGGGAACAGAGATGAAGAGTCAGGGGGAAGAAATTAGTGCATTTCCCCTTGGCATGAGGGTCACCCTGCTAATGAATATAATTCATTAACACTACAAATAAACACAGCGAATCATTAAAAGTAGCAAAAGAACCCAAAATGAATATTCAAAAATAGCGCATTCTTTATAGATGAAGGTTTATTTCTGCTTCAGATTGGTTGGTTTTGAACATTACAAAAGCTTCCCGGGCACAATATACTACCTCTCACACCGCTTTCCTTCACTGTGAATAGGAACCCAACCTTCAAACGATTTTTCAGCAACTACTTCTTTTGTTGAATTTTACCATGCATTTTCTCTGATGTAGCACTTGAACTTGAATATTTTTAAGCCTATGTGTGTACGTGTATGTGTGGACTCTGTTAAGAGAAACAGAGTGTTGTAAACTACCTGATTTGGACAGATGTACAGAAAAAGAGTCAGAGAGTGAGTCGTCTATAAAAGCCACTTGATTTCCAAAGCAGTGAGTGTGCCTAACGAGGAAGAGACTCCCTCTGAAACGTGACGCTGACAAATCAGTTCACATGTACGAACTATTAGCGCTATTAGCATTATTAAGAGTAACCTTCAATGAAGTCAACGCAAAGTGGCAAAAACAGACAGTTCCTCTAGTGGCCACTAGAGGCTCTCTCCAAATGTGAGTCAACATACACATTAAAAAGACACGTTTACAACCTGGTACAAAATACAGTTTAAAGGTTCAATAATCCACCTTGTAAGAGCTCTGGGGATAATTATTTTTATTACTCATTTTTAGTCATTAAACTGGAGTGCTTCACTGTGTGTGTTTTGTGTGCGTTGTTGGAGCCTTTTGGAGTGTTTTAATGGACTACGTGAGTAATATTATCGCCTTCTATCTGGTGCAGATCAACCTAGAAGTTCTTGCTTCAGTTTTGGTGAAATTCTAGAGCTTTATTAGTGTTCTCCTTCAGCGGTCTCCAACCTTTTTTGCACCACGGACCGGTTTAATGTCAGACAATATTTTCATGGACCGGCCTTCAAGGTGTCACGGATAAATACAACAAAATAAAGTGATAGGAGCAAGACAAAAACTGTGGTATTTGGTAAATATAATAATAAAGGCAAATTCACTGTGCAATTCTGTAACTTTATTAGCAGCGTCCTCCTGAAATGCACCAACAACACTGAGAGTAACATCCTCCTCTCAGCCCCTTAACGCTCTCTGGTCGCTATGGTAACGTGTAAACATTTCTTTCAAAATAATACACACAACTATAACAAGGGAAAAAACCCAGGGAAACAGAGTTACAATAAAAACCATGAAAACCTCAAAATTTCAGCCTCAACTCTCACGGCCTGGTACCAAACGGTCCGTGGCCCGGGGGTTGGGGACCGCTGTTTTACTTAATTAGTAATTAGCCTATATGTGTGACTGTGTGATCCACCCTTGCAACTTATGAAAGGCAGCTAATGTCCAGTGATAAATTAGCACTTTAGTCTTTCATCCATATAAAGCAACATCTGACTCTAAAACAATTAAAAATCACCAAATGCTAAAACTGAAGCTTCAAAATGTGGAGCCCAAAACCAATGGGTGTTGTCAAAGAGTCTAATGGCACTAAAAAGATATTCATATGCATTACTGGAACGTAATTATTGATGCGTCTTTGTCACTGATTATTAATTATGTATGTCACTTTAATGATGCAACAGGAGACGAGTTTAATTACCTAAACACTGGTGGGTAGTTTTATCTCAATAACACAGCATAGCAGACTACAAAAGTTTAATTTTAAACTTAACTGTAAAATAATAAGCAAGTAAAGCTTAAAAATAATGCATTGAGCAGCTTACGTCTCAACTTTTGTGCATATTTTGAGATGACAAGATAATGTGTACTAAGCATAGAAATGACAGGTCCTGTGAAAATTTACCATTTGACTTTCTCTTTTAGCCTTGACAGCTCACTCCGCTGACATCCAAAGATTGTGTTGTAGTTTCTCAACATTAAAATTAAATGTAACGCTCGACGATGATGCGTTGATAAGGCGGTGACTCTAGTAGCGCACCACACAAGGCTCTATGTAGGAAACTCCTTGTCCAAGTGCTTTCAGGTGCCATCAGTGAGCGATGGTGAAAGAAAATAGATCATTTTCAGGCCCAGAAGTCTGCATATCGACCTTACACAGTCAAGGTGGTGCTTGTAAAAGGGTGGGTTGTGATGTGGATTTGAGCCGAAGGTGAGGGGTGTTTGCGGGTGGAGTATTGGTGGGATTTAGCTTTTAGTGGAGCGTTTCCTCTGGAGACGCACACTAGCAGCGCTGGACTTTTGCCCGCCCTGCCTGTGGAGAGAAATATGTGCAAGATCAACATGTTTCCTCAACCCTACTCTGAGGTAACCACACAAGATCGAATAGTAGAGAGACCAAGGCTGAAATATACACAGTACAAAGAGAGAGAGAGAGAATAAGCCGTGGCTCTCAAGTTGTTGCCAAGGACAACGCCAGCCGGAGGCAGTTTTAGGCCTAGAGTCTAATGTTGGGTGAGTCATAGTGGTGATAGAGATGTGGAGAGGGCCTCTAAAGTACAGTATCACTCAGGTGTTTAAAAGGTTCAAGGAGATAAACCTTTAAAATGCGGTGCTAGCCCACGGGGGATTGGGGGTGGGGTTGTGTGTGGTCAGCAGCATCGAATGGGCGCCTCATCTTCTCAACGCACCCAGCTGGCAACCCATCGCCTTGAGCAGCCGATGAAAAATTCATGAAAAGTGGTCAATACGTTTGAGTAAATGCTTCCTTTTGGTTGCTTTTCCTTTTTTTCTTAGCCTGCGAGCTGGGTGGAAGAGCACTAAGTACACAGCGCCTATCAAGTCGACACTGAGCTTGCTTCCGAATGCACGCGTCGTCTGTTGTTAAAAGAACGTCGATAGCGCCGGCTAATGGATTGATTGCTTTCACACTTCTTTTGCAGATGCACAATTTGCTTTAAAACACATAAAAGTGATTCACCTAGGCCGACGCATGTAAAGCGGCATAGGGGAAATGAGAATGAAAAGGACAAGAAGGGAGAACATGACACTTGAAATAAATAAATACATGCATACAAACAAAGGGAGAAGTGAAGTACACGAGTCGGTTCGGCTTAAGATCGAGGCTTATGATTAAAATCCATCCACAAGGCGCTCGCGATCCGCCCACATGCTGTATATAGACCCGAACAGCTAATGTTTCAATTACAGCCATTCCAAAGACAAGTCAGACAATGATTAAGCCAGCATCGAGTGGGGATTTAAGAATAACAACAACATTTTTCCCCCCCCTACACACAAACACGCTCTCTCTCCCAGTGTAAGGAAGGTATAATTACTAGGGGCACAAATCATCATGTACAGCAGCTGAATCACAACCATTTGGAGGATATAACTGCTGCTACAAACAGAAGGGGGGAAACACATGCAAACATGTTTATTCGAATGTCACTGACCTACCTGTAATGACATTTGAAAATAGATGCAAAATAAAGGGCAATTTGGAAAAAATGCCTCTGATCTTCCTTTTGTTGGACTCAGCTTTAACCCAGTTTTCCCCAACCACGGTAACCCGCCTCTGCATCACCACCTGGATTCAACTAAAGCAAACAGGCAAGCTCCATCATACGGTGATTATGTTTTAGCTAGTAGCAGGTTATTTACCACAAGAGGTCTCCCAGCGGGAGGCAACTTGTCTCCAAAGAATCGTGGTCTGACTGATGGCAATTGCATTGTGGTTAAAATCTCTTATAAAAGCAAGTCATTTTGTCATTTTGATTTAAAAATTGTGAAATTTTTGCATTTCTGGTCGGACTTTGAATGTAAGTACTCACATTTGTCTTTGATGTGACAGCGAACAGACAATATATCACTAACCAGCTTGACCCCAAAATCAATTTGAGGGGAGCAACTGATTAGCAGTTGCAAACCTGGTCCCTGCCTTAGAAGCAACGATTTTCTGGGCTATGAAACTGCAACTTCATTGCACATAGTTGAAGTAATTTTGGCCACGCCACGGTCTCCAACCACTACTTTCCCCAATGTGACTGTAGCATAACTGATAAATGGTATGCCGAATGTAATTGCTATAGAGTAAACGGCAAGCTGAGAGTAGGTCAGATCCTGTCTAAAATGAGTTCAACTGAACGCCATGAGGGGCGGTCTGATGAAGCAGCTTTTGAAACCATCTCTCAGGGCTTTGGGGGTATGTCAAATGAAATTGGGAACCAATGCTTTAACCCACAGGGGAGTCGAGGCACAACCTCATTCTTGCACATACTCTGGCCTCACAAGCCAACCGTGAAGACTCAGCGTCACATCCCCCTTTACCCACACACACTCAAGCACACACAACCCCTGGGATTGTTGGCTGTCCATGATTGGGACATAATGCTGCTCTTCTCTGACAAGGTCCAGTGCTCGCTGACAAATTGGTCTCTAGCTACAGGCTGCCAATCAATCCATCAAAAGTAGTAGTGCAGCGGAGAGATCGATAAGAGATAGCGCCGTTGATCAATACTGATATAAAAGCAGCCCAAAGTCCAGAACAAAGGCTTCTGTCAGTGAGTGGGTCAAGGTGATCTTCTAAATATGTGAACTAACGTCGATTCTTTTGGTGAAGTGTACCGCACAATTTATTATTTGAGGTTAAGAGCACACCTTTTACAGTTCCTCTGAGTGTAGGCAGAACAGTGTATATGAATAGAAAATGGCCTGTGAATGAGTGAATGCATTCATTCTCCAGGCTATTAGCAAAGCAAGGACACAGTAGAAGCATACACATTCTCATTCAAACACTGGCAATATTATGCTTAACTGGACAAACGGTTCAAATTTCACAACGAATGGAGAGGGACACTAGGGTGTCAAACAGGTAAAGAGAGCCAGAGTGAAAAGATAAATGAAGCGCACGCTTGTGGTTCATATAACCTTTGTGTTTCTTCTTTTACA